GGGCTGACAGTGATAGTAGCTGACACCTGAGCCACGTGTTAGTAAAGCGGTACGGATAATGCTGCTCTGAGTCCTGAAGGGAAGTTGCTGGGGAGCAACTTTACAGTGCTCCAGCCTTGGGGCACTACCCACTCGGGGCTTTGTGTCAAGCAATTCCCCCTCACTGCCATGGAACCTGGCTTCCCTTACCCACCTCCTTGCCCCCGCCCACCATCTCCTCCCCGCCCACCATCTCCCTATCTGAATCCTATTCACTTTTCAGGTCTTGGCTCAAATCCTGCCTCCCCTGTGAAGATGTCCTGAGTCTCAGGATCTCCAACTGTGACATGGGCATACTGTTTGCAGCATCCCCACAGATGGATTGTGATGAGGAAGGAAAGAGAGAGTCGATATAGCATGCTAGGTGCAGTATCTGGTGTAGGCTTGTGGTGAGTTCCCTGCCTCTTCCTCTTCCTCCCCTCTGAACCCCCAGCATGCAGGCATGGTGGCCTTGATCACATGCTGCCTTCTCTTGATAGTCACTGGGGATCATGCCTGTGCTAGTTTTCTCCTCAGTTGCAATGTCACAGACGATGGAGTGTGGGGCCATATCTCATCCTTCCTCACCTTCCAGAATCCAACACTACAATAAAGGCCATCATCACCATTTTTCATTGGCCACTTTAGGGTACCATGTGGCAGGCACTCGGCTATGTGTGTAATGCACATAAGTGTAGTCCTCACTCTTTCACCTCCTAGCTCTCTTCCAGCATGTGCAAGCATTGATTCTCCTTTAATTATACCAGATTGGGTCAACCGCTACCAAGGTCGCAACATGAGTAAGTGGCCTTGCCAGGCCTCAAGTCCTATGATAGATTAAGTTTCTAGTGAATGCTTGTGAATGGGTAGTTGGCAAGAGGGACACACATAGAACCCAGAATAGGAGTGCCTGCCCCATTACTTTTACATGGCATAGGCAGGCCTGCTTGAGAGAAAGATGTAGGCAATAAAGACATAGGACTCAGTGGGTCCTCGAGCTTAGGTAAGGGGATATAGTCACTCCAGGCCATAGGGAGAAACGGAGAAGAGATTGGTCAAGTTAAACCTCAAGGGAGTTGTCCCAGGGAATTCCACAGTGGCTCCAGGATCCCCCAAAACGGTAGCAGATGACCCACCCACTAGCCATCCTCGAGGTGAACTGTAGAACAAGCCCGGGTCAAGTGAGCCTCCCTGGAAGAGGTTTGTTAGCCTAGAAGATGTTGAATCCCTTGGGAGTCCATGGTGGGCATTTCACTCCCACAGATCCTTTGGAGAGCAGCAGGCTACAAGATTGTGCGTGGACCTCTGATGCAATGAGGAGACAGGCTCCACTGTGCTTAAGTGTCCTTTACAAGTAGAAGCCAGAGGACCCTCACTCATTGCTATTCAGCCAATGCCTAAGGTCATTGGGGAAGGTCCCAGACCTTCCTGGCTATCTGGGCCCCATCTGTTTGCTTCGGGCTGACAGTGATAGTAGCTGACACCTGAGCCACGTGTTAGTAAAGCAGTACGGATAATGCTGCTCTGAGTCCTGAAGGGAAGTTGCTGGGGAGCAACTTTACAGTGCTCCAGCCTTGCGGCACTACCCACTCGGGGCTTTGTGTCAAGCAATTCCCCCTCACTGCCATGGAACCTGGCTTCCCATACCACCTCCTTGCCCCCGCCCACCATCTCCCTATCTGAATCCTATTCACTTTTCAGGTCTGGTATGGCTGGTGCCTTGGAGGGGCTGTCTGGAGGGCTGAGCTCAGCTGGGCCTCTGCACCTCTCCAAGGCTCCTTAGAGCATATCACTGTGGTGTCTCCAGCAAGAGAGGCAGACTTCTTACCTGGCAGCTCAGAGCTCTTACACAGCCAGGCATAGGCCACTCCAGTCCTCTGAAAGGATAGCTCTGGGACAGACAAACCTCTACCATTCTCCATGCGTCAAAGCCATCACGGGCCTATCAGGATCCCTTGGGAGAGGCAAACAGACCTGTCCAACGGGGCAATGGGAGGAGCATTCAGGAATAAGCAGCCTTCCTGGGATGCAGCCTATTCACACACACTTTTTGTGATGCTGCTAGGGGGCACACACAGAGCATGTGCATAAGAAGAGGTCCTTTACTCTCTGGGTCAAAGGGGTAGCCTCTCGACTGGTTTTACATTGGACCTATCGCTAGCAGGGTGACCTCTCCCATTTAGTGGATCCTCCTTCTTTATGCCACAGTGATTGCCCTTAAGTGGCATGAAGTTTCTAACCATTATAGACACTCTTTCTCCCTTCTGGGGCCCTGGCCAAACGTAAACAGACACACAGAGGACAGTAAGGAGAAAATGGGGAATCAGTACTTGTTAATAGGCACTTGACTAGAACCTGGTCTCAATATCTGATCCTCCACATTTGGGGCCCTTGGGTGTTCCAAATTCCCTCATCGACCTCCTCTTTCAGGACTCCCCTAAAATCTGACTATCCACCCTCTCTATGGAGCCTACTTCAGCATACATCTCAGCGTTCGAGAGAAGACAGGTTTCAGGCCACTGGAATTTAGGGAGTGAGAACAGCAGGAGCAACCTTATCTCTATCTCTTTGAGAGCATTGAGCCCAAGCAGAATCTTTTCCATCCTTAAAAGGCAATGGAATTTGTCCCCACTAGATTTCCACGGTGCTTAGGATCCATGAACTTCAGTAGTTTTTCAGATTTCTTACTTTTGGTATGATAAGCCCTATCCGGTACCAGTCCCACAACTGTCTTTCAGAAGCAGATACCTTGTCTAGCTTCACAGGTGCAGTGCTGGAGAAACTTCCCATCTCAGCATGAGTCATACCTGGAGACTCACCCATTCCAGATACAGAAGATTATCAAGTGCGATATTGGAGAATTGACATTGGAGTGAGTTAAGTCTTTGGGGATATTGTGATGAAATAAATGTATTTTCTATGTGAAGATGTTAATTTGTGCTGCTGAGTGGATGCAGAAGATATATTAGTATGGATGGAGTGGTGTCTTCCTAAAATGCACAGGTAGCACTCCTGGCCCCCAGTGTTTTAGAATGTGACCTTATGTGGAGAGAGTCTCCACACAGGTCATCTGGTTACAGTGAAGTTGTGAGGGTTAACTCTATGCAACAGGATTGGTATCCTTACAAAAAGGTGACAATTGGTATCCAGAACTGTGAGATAAAAAATACATAGTGTTTACGTCAGCCAGGCTCTGGAATGTTTTTCAGCGGCCCTAGAAAACTAACAGAATACACCTCCATCAACAGCATTAAAAGCATAAGATCCATGGAAGAACCAAAGAAGCACACCCATCTAATCACAAGTTTCCCCTTCAACTCCCATTGAACATCCCTGGACAACTAACTCTTCCTAGTTCAGACCAGGAAACTTGATCACACATTGGGCTGTGGCTCCTCGGCTGCAGGTGCCTCACTGGCAGACACGGATCCGAGTGGAGCTTGTGCTGCTCCATTGTACAGCATTCCATCAACCCCATGATGCATAGAGGCCAGTCATGAAGATTTTCTTAAACAGAAGATTCTAGCCTGAAGAAGAGCAGAATCAGATAAATGTAAACAAGTGAGATTTCATTATGAGGGAACCTAGAATAGGCATTGTTCCTTAAACTTTTTGAGGAGTAGTTTTCTCTGTGCCATGTTTGGGTCCTTGTTTATATTTTCAAATGAATTCCAGCTTACAGGGAAGGCTGGTGAAATGCCTGACTGGACTATCTTTTCCCATTCATGCTATTTTCCCTACATTGATACTTCTTATTTGTTGTTTGGGCAGTTAAGCTCTTTCCCGTAGTTTGTGTTTCCTTAAGTCACAGCATGACAGCACGATTGCTCACTAGGTTCCCCTTCCGCTCAGTCACCCACAGAAATGCTGTATCAAATGTGTGAGCTTCCACTTCCAATCTTCACATCAATCCACCCCTTTCCTCTTTCTTCTACAATTCACCGGTATCAGTCCCCTTGCCCCCTCACTCTTCACTCCCCATAAGCAAGTCAAATTTCATTATTGACCGTGTTTTACTAATGGCCCTCTTTGATTTCTGAATTTACAAAGGGAAAACACATATTCCAGGGTAAAATATCCCAGTAGATTTGGTTTCTCAAAAGGACTTGTCTAATTACACACATGTGCAAGGGTAACTTCAGAAATTTATTTGTAGGTCTTAATTCACAGAAACATTGGCACTTTACAGCAAAACAATTAGCATAATGAGAAATAAGTCACTGAGTGTGATGTGGTGTTTTGGACCAGCTACACGACTCTGTCTCTGCAAAGAAACAGGGTTCTGCCAAGAGTCTTTCATTTGGCAAGTGTTGTTCTGGACTTGTAGGAACATTTGGTGGCACCATCCAGAGGGATTTACTTGCAGCTGATTTTGTGGGGTTTTTGTTGGTCTCCTTGTGCAGTAAGCACAGCTTCAACTATTTTCATAACGTTTCTCTTTAACTATTTTCGTAACATTTTTCTAACAATCTGGAAAAACAGAAAGTAACAAATCCCAATGAGGGGACTTCTTGGTTCTACATCCTTTCTCTGTGGATCCCAAGTGGAGCTCTGGAGGTGACCTTCCCCCTTTCCCATCTGCACCACTCAAGGAAGCTCTGGCTACTACCCTGTCCTGAACCCATTTCCCTCTTGACCAAGGATTCCTCTTTAAATGGTGGAATAATCTATGTGGCTATGTGTTGGGCCCTATGGGGTGGTTATACCCACTTCGAATGAGTTCAAGAAAATTTTGATTTTTGGCATTTATCCAGCTTTTGTTTCATGGTTTGACTGAGAGTGCCGTCCTTTACTGGTTTTGACATATGAAGGAGAAGGGGTGTTTATGAGATGTTTCAAAGTTCACAGGAAACATTTAACAAAAATGGCCATAGATTGAGCTTCAAGGCACAACATAATAAATTCCTGTGAGTTACAATCCCAGAGTATGTTCTCTTGTCCACATCCTTAGGGACTGGAAATCAATTGAAAAGGAAAGCAATGGGAAAGTCAGCACCTGCTCTGAAATTCAGCAATACACTTATACAAAAAAATGCTAAAAATACCAAGACTTGGGACCCAGAAGAGAGAACAACGAATGGTAGCCTATATTAATATTAACAAGAATATTAATATGCCAATCTCCTGAGGAAATAAGCATTATCTGACATCTACTAATGACTGCCAATGCTCTGTATGACTTGATGTTAGGGACAAGGAACATAGATTAATCTTAGCTTTGGATTCATATCCCTAAAAGACCATGATTACAAACACTGCAAACAAAAACATCAGGTAAAGAATCACACTGCCGTTCCTTTAAACACCGGGTTGAATATCACAGGAAGACTGCTGTGGGTTCAGCTTGGGTCACTCCCCCCACATTGGGACAATGACTGTTGCTGATAGACTGCAGGTCACTCATTGGCTGCACCGCTGTACACTAAGGCATGAGCTGTTTCGTGGACACTCAGTAATCCTACTGACACATACCTGGAAGTAAGGAAGGTTTCTGTTCAAAAGGAAATGAAAAAATTATTGTCAGAGCAAACAGAGAATGAATTGCAATAGTGATCTCAGAGTCGGGGAAGCTGGAAAATGAATGGATTCTTGAAAATTTTATTTAGCTACATATACACTGTAACTGGGCCTCGTTTGCTTATTTACGTGGATTCATGATGAGGGAGGTGCTGAACACGTTTAGGAGGGTTACCTCTCTTCTTATGTCAGCGTATTCACTTTCTCTCTTGCCATATCGCAGATAATGAAGTCCTGGAAAATTCCACCATACAGTCGTAGGAGAATGAGAGAGAAAAAGGTAAACATCAGTACCTTCATAATATCATCATAAAATAACTGAGAAAGATAACTAATAAAAACGGCCATTTAGGAAACTGAGGAAATGAAACCCGATCACGGAAACACCCCCTACTTTTCCTTGGAGCATAGCCAGATGGCCACCCCCGCAGGATGCCACCCACCCCAACCTCCGGTGGGGTTCCCCTCCTTGGCGGGTCACTGGTCTTTATGGCCATGCACAGAGGTTCTGAACCGAGCCTTTGGGTTTCCCGGGTGCTCAGGTGCTCCTGAGACAGCTCACTTGCTTTTGGTGTACCTGAGGGTGGCATTCGTGCCCTGGGCCTCAGCGAGCTTGCCCATCTTCCCCGGCAGCAGTAGGCGCACGGCCACCTGGATGTCCCGGGAGGTGATGGTCACACGCTTGGCGTAGCGGGCCAGGCGACCAGCCTCAGTGGCGATGCGGTCCAATATGTCATGGACCATAGAATCCATGACACTCACGGACTCCCGGGAAAGGCTGAGGCCCTGGTGAACCTGCTTCAGCACCTGGGGGAAATAGGCGGCAAAGCTGTCCCTGAAGCTGTCCCTGCGGCGGTTGGTATGGCGCCTGCGGGAACCGCGGAGCCCTCGCCTCTTCTTCTGGGCGGTGGTGGAGTTGGCCTCTTTGGGCTCTTGGATGCTCTGGTCTTCCTCAGAGGTCGTCTTAGAGGAAGCCTCAGCCATGATGGAGGCAGCGGCCATTAGATGCAAGATCAGAGAGTGACGGTTGTGGATCAGTGAAGCGGAGTACTTTGGTATGGCCGTGTGGCTCTACGTCACAGTCCAACTCGACATCTGATTGGATGAAGTGTCACCCAGGGAGCCCGTCAACAATCCTCCCTCCATTGAAGGTGATTGGATGATCCTGTTGCTTGGCATCACATCAGCCAATCACAGAGGGTGTCTGCCGGCCTAAGCTGCCCGGTTGCCTACCTCAGACAAAGGAACACAGAGTCTTGCTCTGTCGCTCAGGCTGCAGTGCAGTGGTGCGATCTCAGCTCACTGCAACCTGTGCCTCCCGGTTTCAAGCGATGCTCCCTCTTCAGCCTCCCAAGTAGCTTGGACTAGAGGCGTGTGCCACCACACCCGGCTAAGTTTTGTGTGTGTGTGTGTGTGTGTGTATATATATGTGTGTGTATATATATGTGTGTGTATATATATGTGTGTGTGTGTGTGAATGTATATATGTGTGTGTGTGTGTGTGTGTGTGTGTGTGTGTGTGTGTGTATAGTAAAACGTGGTTTCATCATGTTTCCTCAGGCTGGTCTCGAACTCCTGGACTACAGCGATTCTCCTGCCTTAGTCTCCCAAGTTTAAGGGATTACAGGCAGGAGCTATTGTATCTGGCTGAGAAAAGTTATTCCAGGAAAATAAAACATGATATTGATACCCATTGAAGGATGCACCCTAAAAACAAACAAAAAAATCTGCGAATATTTATAAACGTGGTTACAAAACTCATACTGAAATATTAACTAAATCACATAACACACACACACACGTACAAAGATAAACTGTTTACTGCTATAAATAACAATTTAGAACCATCAAACGGGACAAACATTACTAATGGAACAAGCAGATCTCATAGAATCTTTTTTCAATATTACCTCTATTATACAATTCATTTAAATACATAAAAACCCACAGTGCAGAAACAGCTAAATCAAAAATTCAATGAGCAGCACCCTTTTCAAGCTTCCGAGAAACTGAAATAAGGACTCTAACTCATTCGCATTTGTCTAATTCTATTATTTCCCAGTCTACAATCTTTTTTAATGCAAAGTTTAATGTCCTGTGAGTATGCATCACTTACGATCGAAGTATCCAATGATAGGACCAAAACCCCACTCTCCACTGGCTCAGCTAATGAAATGTCTTCAGCCCTAGGCCTGAGCCATTGGCTCAGAATGTGAGCAGGTGACCAGTCCTGAACCCATAAATGACCTCGAGCTGTTCAGCCTTGTAAATTGAAGAGAAAATTAGTTTGAGGTGTTCATCTACTTTTTATTTCTTTGTTTGATTTTTCGTTTTCTTGTAATTGTGGTGACTTAAGGATTTGAATCCAAGCCTGTAAGTAAGCATGTCTCCTACCTCTTGCATCATATTGTGAAGAAAAGTTCTCTGAAAAGGAATTTGGAGGAAAGAGACTATTCCTGTGAACAGCTTGCATAACAGGGAGGTGCAGACTTCAGTGTAAAACAAAGGTGCAGTTCCAGAGAACCAAAAAAGGATACGACTTTTATAGAGAAAGTTCTCATCAAGGTTCCCAGTACAGTCCATTCATGCAAATAAAGGATTCAAACTTAGTTCTGATTGGTTGACTCAGTTGAGCTCTGATTGGTCAACACGACTGAGCCCTGATTGGCAGGGCAGGTGAGCTCTGGTTGGTTGGTTCAGGTGACCTCTGAAAGCTGCAGAGTTAGATAGAGGTGTGGGTTTTTGGGGAATTCCTAGTACATGTGTGGGCTCTAGTCTGCACGTGGCAGCTTGGCTCTAGTTTCAAATTAGGCTCAGTCACTGGGATCCATCTTGAAAGATGGACTCTTTTAGGTTCACATTTGTCCACAAGTTGAAGAAAAAGAAAGTGACCAATTAAAAAAACTAGGATGACTCTCCTTTTTTTTTTTTTTTTTTTTCAGTTTCACTGTTGTGGGGCTTTTTCCATTTCAGGCACATGTGTCTGACAAAATTAATGCACTATGATAATTTGAGACAATAAAAACACTTCAGTACAATGCTTTCTCCAAAATATGATTGGGCCTGATTCTTGACCCAATATAATACTCTTCCTCTTTCATGAGACTGTCACTCTGGAATAAGGGGGAAGGAGTGTGGAAGTGAGTGAGGGCACAGAAGATGCTGTAAAGGGTGGCTATTTACTCTTTTTCCTTATCCCAGACTTTTTACCTAGTATAGTGACCATATGTCCTGATTTCGCCTGTTGTCCCTGAGTAATTCTTAATAGCACCCCCTTTCACTCTGAAACATGTCCAAATTTACAACTCTGTACTTCCCAGGGTAACTAGATCATGCAGTTAGTTGTAAGTGTAGTAGCTCTCAGATATTTGTTGAATGAACAGATAAATAAATGAACCTAAATTAGATAAGAGACTGGCCCCTGACAACCTACGAGACCATTGCTGAATTCTGTGGCTAGTCCACACCACCCTTCTGGACCACTTGGGTACAGTCCCCTTTCCTGTACTGCACTTTAAAAAAATTATTTCTCTACAAAGCTGTCTGAGTCCCCGTGTTAAACCCATGAGAACGGCAGATTTTGTTTCCTCCATGATCTGCGTATCACATTGACTCCTCCCATTAACCCTTTATGGTGTAGATATTTTAGCCTCAACTTTTTGGCAGACAAGAAACACAGTAACTAAGAAACGTGTCCAATGATCACACAACTGATAAATGGAAGGGCAGAAATGCAAATCCACGTCAGTCTGACTCCAGAACCCAAGCACTTGAACATTGTCTTCTGCCATCCTCTCTCATATTGCAGTGATGGCACCTTCAATGCATGGATACCTAGGTAGACAGTCTAAGGTGAGCCTCCCCTTTACAACAAGTCTTTCTGTAGCTTGATCTTTCCCTGAAGGCAACATGATAAATTCAGAGGTGTAAAAGCAAAAGCATCAAGTTAGCCTTCCTGCAAAGGTATGCAAGGAACCTGATTTTCTTGTGCAACCACGGGAGTTTTTTGAAGCAGCAGTTAGGAAATTCAACCATGCCTGAGCTCAGTTCTGTGTTTCAATAGCTGTCTGAAACATTTGGATAGCCATTCCATGTTGCTCAATTGTGTCCAATACACATGGACTCCAACTTAGCATGGTTCAACTTAAAATTATTTGCCTTTATGATAGGTTTAACTGGACTTAACTCCATTTTAAGTTGGGGAGTATAAGTTTACTCTGTTGCAAATTAGTGAGAGAAAGGTTAGGAAGCAGAGAGTGGGAAAATGTTCAGGTTAGGGTTACATGGTCATCACCTGATGATCCACATTTAGCTCTGTGATGGCCAATTTCATGTCTTGTCTTTCCAAACAGGGGGATATTTTTTTCCCAAATAAGCAAGGACAGAGATCTAGGTAACTCGGCTTGATTGAGTTACAGTACCTAGATATGTGGTCAAATTTCATTCTGAATGCTTCCGTGAATGTGCTTTTTGGTAAGATTAACATTTAAATCAATGGGCCTCAGTACAGCAGACTGCCCGCCATAATGGCCTGAGTACCTTAGAACTTAAAAACAGAAAAAGAACAAAAAGACTGACTTCCCCCAAGCAAGAGTAAATTCTGCTGCAGACAACGTTCACACTTGAACTGCAACATCGACCCTCCCATGGGTCTTCAGCCTCATGGCCGTAATGTCAGCTTGTACCTGGGACTCCAGGCTGCCAGCCCAACCTGCAGATTTAGGACTTGCCAGCTTCCTTAATCACATGATTCAGTTTCTTAAAATAAATCTCTCTCGACAGATAGATGGATAAATATCCTATTGATTTTATTTGTCTGGAAATCCCCTAATACAAGCTTTCTGCACTAAAACATTGCTGCGGAGATCTGAGTGTTGTTTCCACATGTAAAATATCCGGTTATGTATCAGACATTTTCATGATTCCATTAATCAATACCTGTCCCTTTGATTAGTGACTACACAATTATGTCAGTAGTTTTCCCTGGGTCTTAAGAGATGTTTCTTCATCATTTGATATGACTGGGGATAACAACATATTCAGTTCAATGGTAAAATTGAGGACTTAATTACAATTATTATCACAGAAGGTAACAATACCTTGAACATCAGCAGAGTCCATGTGGCACATGCTAACCAGAAGATTGAATGAACTTACCCCACTTCCGACCTTGCCAGTTAATTGCACTCCCTTATTACCACCCATATAGCCCACACTCATATTGGTTGGTGTCAATTAAACCAGGCATTGCTATAGTAATAAAAAGAGGCACCACTGACTGAATGGCGACTTTGCCAGGCATTGTTCTAAGTGCTTTACAGGGAACACTTCAATTCCCTTTCACAAGATCTCTGTGAAGTAGTGTTATTATCTCCATGTTTGTGGATAAAGACACCGAATCACATAAGAGTGTTACTTGCCCGAGATCAAACAGGTAGAATATTACCAAAGCAGGAATCAAACAAATTTCTGCACACTTAAGGTTCTGCTCAGCAAAAGAAAATATCATCAGAGTGAACAGGCAACATACAGAATGGGAGAAAATTCTTGCAATCTGTCCATCTGACAAAGTTCTGATATCCAGAATCTAAAAGAAATTTAAAGAAATTTACAAGGAAAAAAACAAACAGCCCCATCAAATGTGGGCAAAGGATATGAACAGATACTTCTCAAAAGAAGACATTAATGCAGCCAACAAACAGATGAAAAAAGCTCATCGTCTCTGGTCACTAGACAAGTGCAACTCAAAACAAGAATGAGATACCATCTCATGCCACTTAGAATGGCGATCAGTAAGAAGTCAGGAAGCTACATATGCTGGCCAGGCTGTGGAGAAATAGGAACGCTTTTACCCTCTTGGTGGAAGTGTAAATTAGTGCAACCATTGTGGAAGACAGTGTGGGGATTCCTCAAGTATCTAGAACCAGAAATACCATCTGGCCCAGCAATCCCATTACTAGGTATGCACACAAAGGCATATAAATTATTCTATTATAAAGACACAAGCACACATATGTTTATTGACACATTATTTACAATAGCACAGACTTGGAACCAACCCAAATGCCCATCAATGATAGACTGGATAAAGAAAAGTTGGCACATATACACCATGGAATACTATGCAGCCATAAAAAAAGAAGGAGTTCATGTCCTCGGCAGGGACATGGATGAAGCCGGAAGCCATCATTTTCCACAAACTAACACAGGAAGAGAATACCAAACGCCGCATGTTCTCACTCAAAAGTGGGAGTTGAACAATGAGAACACATGGACACAGGGAGGGTAACATCACACATCGGGACCTGTCAGGT